GGAAATTTCTAATTACCTGTAATTGCAGGAAGCATCTTAAGTCTTTCAAAGTGAGAGTGAGAACCAGCTGTAATTCCTGGCTGCAGTTACAAATATTTAGCCCCTTTACCTGGGTAACAGCTTCCAATAACTCCTGCTAACAGTTCTCTGATTTCAACATTTCTCAAAATCCTGAGTTCCATTACAATTTTTTTTCAAGGATCACAATGAGAAAAAATAGAGGAAATTAGTTTCTTTAAGTCCTTGATGTAAATCAAGCTGAGCTCCTTAAGCACAGACCAGTCATTGTAAAAGCATGTAGTATAAAAAATGCCAAATACAAGAGAACATGGAAGGACAGAGGCAAGTCCATAGTCTGTAATACATGTAGCTTAATTTTGTAAATCTATATTTTCCTAAACCAAAGCTTCTCAAAACTTTTGCCATATCTTCCATTGGAACTCAACTATCACTGTCTATTCCGTATTTCAGGGTATTATCTGGGATCAGAAATGTGCTGAGCCAAGGGAAAACAGCCATTTATTTTGGTGTACGTGCAATCAAACTACAGTCACCTGAACCCCTCTCTGCATCTCAGTCCCTGAGGGCTACTCTTTCATCCTGCAGATGGGCAGACAGACCAAGAAATTCTTCTGTTATAGAATCATAGAATCATCAAATTGAAAAAGACCTCTAAGATCATGAAATTCAACCATTAACCATTAACCATATTCACCACTAAACCCCAAGTTACTGTGGTATAAAGATTCATGTCACTCTATGTGAGTGGGACATGAGAGAACACTGACTCCACTTATCCCATAGTAACATCCCCATCTCACCTCCAAGGGCTGTTCCTCAAGGAGCACAGTCAAAGGAGCTCAGTGTTAGCAGCAACTTCTAAATTCTCACAGGCTCTTTCAGGTGAGCTAATCAGGCATCTACAAAACACAATCCAAAGAGAGCTGACAAGTAATGCTTGAGGAGAGGACATCTTTATTCACCAAAGAAGCATGAAAGGAGGTTGAAAAAGGATTCTACTGTAGCCTCAATCAGTTAGTTTGTATAAAGTAAACTGATTAAAAATTTGAAGTCAGAGATAGCTGGTAGAAAAGCTGATTCATGTGGCCTTGCCATTTATCTGGTTACAGCACCGCACTGACACCAAGGCTATGTTTGGTGGTGGAAGAGTCTTTTAGAAGTGTCTGGAACTATACCCAGTTCCATAAGTACTCAGCTGACATGGGAACAGAAGAATGTAATTTCTGATCCACAATTCCTTTTCTTTTTTTGTTTTAAGAAAAGTATATACTCAATGAACTGTTGATTGAGATGTTCTCTGAGAGGCTAATGAGAACCAATAATCTGAGATAGTGGCACTCTTCAGCACCATTTATGCATTGGCTTCACCTCACTTCCACTACAAGCAAAAGTCTCCATTCCATAAATATCTTCTGTGGCACCACTGGAGTTTGAATCAGTTTGGTATCAACAAACAGTTTTAAAACTGAATTCTTGTTCAGACATCATTAGTGTCTATCCCAATTAGAAAACTTATGGTACAGCGTGGCTATGCAATACTTTTATTTATTCTGATGATTGTCAGAAAAATACTTCATCCCATATTATTGTTGCCAGTAACAGATTTGTGTTGACAATGGTTCAGACTACAAGCAGCTGCATCTTCTTTCTGATATATGTGATCAAAGACTGACAAGTTAATTTACATCATTTAAGTAATATGTAAAATTTATAATAATATAAGCTCTAGGACTTGTTATTCTCTCTCAGAAAGGTTTATTCTTTAAATAAACCCATATGCATGAACCAGAGGGAAATCCTTTGGAGTAGCTATTTTTTGGCCTTTCAGAATAATTCCCTAACAATCCTAGAGGGGCTGTGCTTTTTAGAAAAGTATTTGTTTGTGTTAGTGAATGATGCAGTCTGACCTGCTGAATTTTCTTGCTTTGTAGAGGATGTTCTTTTCCTAGGGTACCTCATGCCTAGCAGAAAAAGCATTAAATGTGCTTGCTCCAGCTGATTTGGGCTTTTCAAATGCAGATCTGCAATGAATGAGAAGGCCCACCTGTTTTTTTCTCACTGGTACTCATTCTCTTAAATTCCAGGAGGCTTGCCCTGATGGCATACTAACTGTCCTTATCCTTATGGTACTCTCTTTACCTTGCTGAGTCTTCTCTTTTTTCAGTACCTACTCCAAGGGGGTTGGTTTAGGGGATGTGCCTTGTATGATGAAACTCTAGAAAACGAGGTTTCTCTTACAAAGGGAACACAGCTACCATGGTGTTATGTGTGCTGATATTACTGCAGCAGGGGTAAGTGACCTCATGGGAGCATCAGCAAGGGATGGGGGCAACCAGGGATGGGTTCCTGACCAGCAAAAATGATGTGAGGAAGGCCTGTAGACAGTGGGAGAGGATCACTGCTCTCTGGGAGGCCAGACCAGGAGGTGCAGAATAACTTGAGAGAACCCAGCTGGTGAGACCAGGAATCAAACAATAGGAGGTTTCAGATGTTCCCTAGCACTGATAATCTCCACTCTGCCCTGCTGTCATGGGTGATGGCTTGCACCCTCTGTTATCCAAGTTTCACTCAGTCTGTTCCCCTTTGACTTGTTCTTGCTGAAAGAATTCTCCTAATCAGCCCTCTGTTCTTTTTCTCTAAGCTAATTGCCTCCGTGGACCCTTTTGCATTCCCTTTCACTGCCTCCTCCTCCCCAAAATCCTAAATAGGTGTAGTATTGCTTGACTCTGCTTGCGGATAACTCTTCTCCTATTTCCCATCTGAATGATTTTAAATGAAAATTCTCTGGGGCAGTGACCACCTTCAAATTATGCCCATAAAGCACTCTGGGGACCTATTCTTGGAGAGCATTAAACACAACAATGATAAATCTGACTGCTAATGATATAAACAAAGGAACAGGTTTGCTTTGCTGCTGGAAGGCAAATCACAGACAGTTCACTCTTTTGCTGCTGGTATTGCTGCCACAATCCCATTTTCTCTTGCAAAGCACAAAAGAACTAAAGATCAAAATTACACATTGAGTCTGGACTTCTCTTTATGTCAGGAAAGGTAAATCTTTTGGGGGAAGGTTGTGTCAGGGAACATTGGCCCAGCAAAGAATAATAATAGAGTAAAAGAATAATGGTGTCAATATACTAAAAGCAGATTTGTGAAGGAATTAAACAGTATGTGCTGATTTTTGTTCAGATATATGTGTCTCTGTCTTGCTCTTGTAAATTAGACAGAGCTGTGCTTTAGCATCTGAGGGCAGATTTGGGAAATTCAATTATACAGAAATCAAACTATTATGCAGGTTTTTTCATCAGTTTCATACTGTGTTTCTTGTAACTAAAATATGAAAACTTGCCAATGCAGCAGAGAAATTAGTACTGTTCTTGAGCATTATTGAGCATAAAGTTCTGGGAATGCGGAGAAGTTATAACTCCCAATATAATACCAAATAGATCTGCTAACATTTAAGACCATTTCTTGTGAACTGAAAGGCTAAGAATAAAAGCCTTCTGATCATGATCTTCATTCAATGCATTTGGAAAACCAAGAGAAGCTCTTCAGTACATTACCACATTCTCTGTGGATTAGAATAAGTAGTTTGCTAGAAACTTCTGTCTTTAATGTCAGCTCTTTACTGTCGCATTGTCATGTATTGATCATAAAGATCAGAGTTAAGAAAGAAAAATAATAAGCAAAAGGAAGTAAACTAAGAGCTTGTTTAAAACAGTTGTGTTTTTTTTTTCTTTAGCATTAGTGAAAAATGCCAAAACAACTGCTTACTTATTTTAAATAAAATAGATGAGATCTGATTTGTCACTCCATGGAACTGCAACTTTTATAATTATATCCCAGCTACTCAAATAGCAATGATGTCACATCAACTTTGGAAAAATAAGATGAAATCTTCTATACTGTGCAAATATCCAGCAAACTGTGGGTCTGATTTTTTTAATTGTAGGTGCTTTGAAGTATGCACTTTCATTGAATATTATTTTCTCTGTTTTTCTTCTCTTATTTTCCCTCTTTGCATATTTCATCAGTGATAATTGTCATTGAAAACAATTCAGAAGAAAACATTTTATGCTACTAACCAGGGACTTTTTTACAAGCAGCTGTTGAACCATAACACTCCTCCTTTGTGTGGTGAGTTGAGAGCTAGATTACATTTCTTTCAGCTAAAAAAAAAAAAAAAAGGCAGTTTCATTGCTTTCATTGTTGCGAAATATTGTAGGAGGGAAATTAACCTCCCACCACACCTCCATTTCTTATTTTCTTAAACTTTCCAGGCCTGATTCACCGCTGTATGACTTCAGTTCTAAGCGCTGTTACAATGGCTATGCACAGGAAAGAGTGCAGCTAGAGTAGCACTGTGGAGAGTCAAACTGATTATCTTGGCAAGTGACTAATCCCATGCTCCACAGCACAGCCTTTAAAACAACATCGCACTTCTTATCCAGGAAATAACTTTCTGATCAGCAGAAGCACTATTCACCTGCACATATATGCTGTCTGCATTTTCTGAGCTTTACTGCTATACTGAGCTTTACTTAAATAAAACAGGTCCCAGAAGTGCATAAATACCAGAGCAGACATAACACGTTTACCTCTAAGAAAAGTTGGCCATTTTACAAGTGGAGGGGAGATTGGGAATCACCAGTGATCTGTGACTAAGACTAAGAAAATGAACTGACCAAAATAGTGTAAGGAAGGGCTGTTTGCAGTGTTTGCAGATGGAATGAGACAACAGGAACCTTGTGAAATTCCATAGAGAGAGATGCTAAGTCCTGTCCCTCTGAAGGGGGACACTGTCCCACTGACACTGGGGAGCAGCTCTGCTGTAAAGGCCCTGGGGGTCCTTAGTGTTCAGCTGAGCATGAGCAACCCTGGCAGCAAAGGTGCCAACAATTCCTGCATGAAATGAATTACAGTCAGTGGATTGAAGGAAGTAATCATTCACCTCTACTCAGCACTTGTTAGACCACACCATGGTCAGCTTTGACACCTCAGAACAAGACATCCTTAAACTGCAGCAAGTTCAGCAGAGGACCACCACTGTGACAGTGGGGCCGAAGCCCTGTGAGGAGAGACTGAGGGACTTGGGCTCAGATCCTACAACAGACAGCTTCAGAGGACTGAACCACAGGCTGCCTGTACCTACAAGGAAGAGAAGACAGAGGTAGGCTCTTTGAAGTGATGCCTTGTGGATAAGAGGATAAGAGACAATGGGACAAGAGAAGTTCAAACTGGGTATGAACAAAAACATTTTTCCCTATGAGAACAGTGAAGCAGTGGGTCACTGTGCTGGGGAGACTGTGCAGTCTCCATCTCTGGAGATTTTCAAGCTCAGACTGAACAAAGTCCTGAGCAAGCTGGGCTGACCTCAGAGCTCATCCAACTTTGAGCAGGAGGCTGGGCTAGAAACCTCCTGTGGTCCCTCCTACCCCAAAGAATATATTCTTTGATCCTACCAGAAAAAGAGTGGTTAAGATGTGCCATATAAATAGCTTCTCAAGGTGTTGAGATATCAGTTCTAGTATGAGAGCAAAATAACCTCCTGTTTGAACACAAAATCCACAACAGCCTTGTTTAAATTTTTTCTCCCCAGTGCTAAACTGTTCAGTGACTGTTTGGGACTATAACAATATTTAGGCTGTATGATAATTCACAGCATTGAAGTTTGAAATATTTGAGTATCAACAGCACTTGACAGAATCAATGTATGGGTCAGTATCCTATTTCTGATTCATCATTATTGAATTATTGCTTATTTATAATGTTTTAGGAAAGAATGTGAAAACTGACAAATTCCGTCAGGCAGATCTGTTTCTAGTTTATAAGTATACACATTAGTGTATGAATTTTCTCTATCCAAATGGATTTTTTCACTTGCTAGCACACTTATAAAGAGTGGAAAGAAAGAAACACGATTCCAAATGTACTGATAAAGGTAGTCCAAATTATACTGGGAAAGACATATACCTTTTTCACTAAAGAACAAATACTCTAACTTATAGGACAAGAATCAATGTCATGAATGGCTTTCTTTTTATGTTTATATGACCAAATAGTTTTAGTTTCTAACAGAACAGACTGCTGTAAAGCCAGATAGATTTCTTCTTACATTTATATAAAAAAACCAGTTGTAGTTTCTTATAAAAAATCTGATGGGAGTTCAGATTGAATTTAATTATTTCTCCTGCCCTTTCCCAGATGAGAGTCCTTTTCTATTCTCATAGTTAATTAAATAGAGACTTAGGAGAGGGAAAAAGCACATCACTGTGTTCACTGTGGTGGTTTGGGTTCAGCCCTGGGACTTGCTGATGCCCTTCCCATGACACCTGCCTTAGTGTTCACCTTTGTGTAAACTGTGTGGTCATAGAGATTAGGGGGCAACTGATGTCACTGCTACCACCTTTTAAAAGCTTTGCTCGCTGGAAATTTATTGCTCAGGAGAGGAATAGGAAGTTCTGGGTTGTAATTCTTTAAAATTCTTACTGATTCCTACCCATTCCCTGGACAGCCAGTGGAGGAGAACAGCGATTGTTTTAGGAAACTACAATTGCTCCTGGCATTCACAGATATCCTAGCTGTGCTTTCCATTGACTTCAGAGGGAATTTAGGCTCTTATTTTAGAAACAATATATTAACTCCTTACTTCTTCCATATCTCCTCTTCCAAAGCTAGTTCGGTGCTTTAGGAAACTCTGGATCTCACCAACACTGCTTTTATTAAAAAAAGAAAAATGTTTTTCATGGCATTCTGGAGTCTTGTTTGGATCATTTGACTGATAGGATTTTCTAATTGTTATCTCAAAATGTTACTGAAAAAGAGTCAGAAATTGTCAGCTTTAATACTGCATCCTTAAGCCCTTGCTGAACATCCACTCAAGGGAGTATCAGAAATCGGTGGCTTAGAAGAGGAAAGCTTTAACAAAAGGTCACACAAAATCATAGTGGAATCATTAATATGTTTTCAAGTGGACACTTAAGACAGGCCCTTTCCTGGACAAAGGGACATTAAAAGACACTTAGGAACAAAGAGCCCTTGATGTGAATTTATTCTATCCAGCTGTGGCTTTTGAACAGGCAAACATAGAGCTTGGCATCCCAAATCAAACAGAAATCTCTATTAGTCTCTTTTAATATGTGAAATATAAATGCATAATGGGAAAAAAACCCCCAAAACTGGCTCTAAAAATTACCAAAGTAGATTTACTTATAGAGCATAATGCTTTTAGAGAGGACACAAACATCAAAACTGAGAAGGGCAAGTTCAGACTACAAAATTGTGTTCTAGAAGCAACAAGTCTGAAAAGACCTTAAGGTTAATGGTAGATAACCTCAATATGTTCTTCCAGTGAGATGCTGGGGAATAGAAGTTACAAAAAATGTTAGGAGTAACAAGAAAAGGATGTTTTCTTGATTTCTACAGAATGGTGCTTCCAGGTCTTGAGACAGACCTGAAAATAATCTTGTAACATTGCTCAAAGAGCAGATTGAGGTAAAATCTGGGGGCTGCTGGAGAGAGGAACCTTCAAAAGAACAGGAAGCTAAAGCAAGTCACATAAAAAGTGAGTTAAGACAGCATCTCAACTAAGAGATGCTACACAACTGCAATTGAGTAGGATTCAGCATCCTCATCATACATATGACGATTGCAGTTTGCTATCTTTAAAGAAAGTATTAAAAAACTTCCTATAACTCTGATTTGAATTCAACAATCAAATACTAAAGTGACAAAAATATAAAGTGTGGTATTTTTCTCTTCATGCTCAATTAACAAAAAAGTACTTGCTAACAGAGGTAATAATCTCACCATAAATTGAATCTTTTGCTCAAGATTAAATTCCTTTCAAAAAGTATGTTCTAGGAATGTTATAAAGATGTGTTTGTGGTAGAAATTATCAGTGGCATTAACTGTTTTATGTAGAAATTCAGTAGAATGATAATTTTTACCTCCCTGATTTTAAACTACAAAAAACTAAAACTAACAAAATTTAGGATTACACTTTGAAATTAGGTATTCTATTTAGGATAGAAAAGGTTTCAAATTCTTGTTCTACTCTTCTACTTAAATGAGTTTAGTTCTCAGAAGTAACTGTAATTGGAGAAACATTTTAAAACATGCTTATTTTTCTATGCAAATGTACCTTCTGTTTCATAACATTTCTGCAGCAGCAGTAGGACTGAGGGGCTGTGATTATCCTTTGCTCAACAATCTGTACCTTCAGGACCACACTGCCTATTGAGATTGCAAATAGGATTGGCTCCATGTTGCCTAGCATGTGGGAGCAACACACACTGTATTATTTACCTTCAAATTAAAATTATATTTATAATCTAGCCATCAAAGTGGGAAGGAAACTACAGGCTCCTGTTTATTTCTAGTAATAAAAAAAAACTGGGCTATTTTTTAAAACAGCAGCAAGCTATAAAAATTAAAATTAGAAAGTCAAATGAGGCTAATATCCCATCTCATGGAGTTTATCAAAGGTTTTATAGCTCTAACCAGTGGCCAAAACAGAAAAACTGGTGAAAGCTGATTTGCCAACTGAACACTTCATATAGGTACCTTGGCCTTTCTGTAGAGAACTGGAACAGCACAGAGATTTACCATAACTTCCAAATTGTCATTTGGGTACTTCTTCATACCCTTCTGACTATTAACACAGAAATAAGTATATTTTATAGGGTCATTTTTCTACAGCATTTGACTGTAACACTAATCAGAATAGCATAAGCTGGCCTGTAATGTGTTAAAAACAGGTGTTAGGTAAGAATATGTGCTAATTTTCTTTTTACCCAATTGTCACTGATTTCAGCAAAACTATTCCCACCTTGTGGGATTATGGTCAGAATCTTTCTCTTTATTCTTGATGGTAGAAAAATTTTAGCCCTGTTTGCAATATAACTCTAAATATCTGTCTCAGCTGATAAACCTTGGACTTCATGAGAGACAGCAAAATCAGGGTTTTTTAGCTGAAATCCATAGTGTGCAATGGATTTTATGCAGTGGATTTCACACCTGATGGATGTAAAAGGATGTTCACTCTAATTGCATTACATGAAAGGGTTTTAACCTTTTCCTCTAAATGTACTTTAATATAACATTGGTCAATGCAGAGACAGAGAATGATATTTCACAGAATGTCATTAATTGATCCAAGAGTAGAAAACCAACATTCATCAATATGGTATAAAAAGAGTGAGTAAAATTTCCCCATGTCCACTCACAGCATCAATTAAGGAAGCACAAATGAAAGTTTATGAATAGTACACAGTCTCTATCAGATGCCATGTGGTCCCATGGACTCTAGGAACTCTAGGACCTGTAGTACTCTAGGAATTATCTAGACAGAGCAATTTTTTCAAAGAAAATGTGAATATTGGCTAGATCTGTTTAATTATGTTGCAGGAAAGAGCATAAGGAAGCCTTTGTGCAGAAGGATGTACTCAGGTGTGGCTGTGATAGACATGGAGTGTCAGACTAGGCTGGCTGCATCTAGACTGCAGGAGAGGAGTGCTTTAGAACATTCCTAAACACTTCCCTTTCTCCAGTCATCTTGGCTGGGCTGTTTCAACCCTAGGGGCTGTCCCAGTTTCTGTCCCAAGTGCTGATTGCAGACTGAGACCTCATCACAGTCTACAACCTCCTCCTGAGGGGAAGAGGAGGGGAAGGCACTGATCTCTTTTCTGTGGTGACCAGTGACAGGACCCAAGGGAATGGCTTGAAGTTGTGTTAGGAGAGGTTTAGGTTGGATATTAAAAAAGGATCTTCACCCAGAGGCTGGTTGGGCACTGGAACAGGCTCCTCAGGGAAGTGGTCACAGCACCAAGCCTGACAGAGCTCAAGAAGTCTCTGGATGATACTCTCTGGCATATGGTGTGACTCTTGAGGATGGTCCTGTGCAGGGTTTAGGGTTGGACTCGATGATCCCTGTGGGTCTCTTCCAATTCAGCATATGCTGTGATTCTGTGGTTGGGACTGTGCTGTGTGCAAGACTGATCCTGGTGCTGAATCTCTCAGAACACGGAGATAAGAAACATAAATACTGAAGTTTAATAAACAACAAACAAGTACTTTCAGGAGGAGATGTGCGCCCCAAATGCCTTTAAAGTTTTGGGTCGTTTTATTTTGTAGAAAGATAAACATCAGAGAAGGGGAGGTGGGAATGGG